GTATGCTTTACTTACATGTGCTCAAGTTCCTTTTTATACACATTGCATGCATGCGTGCCTTGATTTACTTACATGTGTTCAATTTCAAGTTCCTTTTTATACACATTGCATGCATACGTGCATTGCTTTACTTACATGTGTTCAAGTTCCTTTTTATATACATTGCTTGCGTAGACCGTATGCTTTACTTACATGTGCTCAAGTTCCTTTTTATACACATTGCATGCATGCGTGCCTTGATTTACTTACATGTGTTCAATTTCAAGTTCCTTTTTATACACATTGCATGCATACGTGCATTGCTTTACTTACATGTGTTCAAGTTCCTTTTTATATACATTGCTTGCGTAGACCGTATGCTTTACTTACATGTGCTCAAGTTCCTTTTTATACACATTGCATGCATGCGTGCCTTGATTTACTTACATGTGTTCAATTTCAAGTTCCTTTTTATACACATTGCATGCATACGTGCATTGCTTTACTTACATGTGTTCAAGTTCCTTTTTATATACATTGCTTGCGTAGACCGTATGCTTTACTTACATGTGCTCAAGTTCCTTTTTATACACATTGCATGCATGCGTGCCTTGATTTACTTACATGTGTTCAATTTCAAGTTCCTTTTTATACACATTGCATGCATACGTGCATTGCTTTACTTACATGTGTTCAAGTTCCTTTTTATATACATTGCTTGCGTAGACCGTATGCTTTACTTACATGTGCTCAAGTTCCTTTTTATACACATTGCATGCATGCGTGCCTTGATTTACTTACATGTGTTCAATTTCAAGTTCCTTTTTATACACATTGCATGCATACGTGCATTGCTTTACTTACATGTGTTCAAGTTCCTTTTTATATACATTGCTTGCGTAGACCGTATGCTTTACTTACATGTGCTCAAGTTCCTTTTTATACACATTGCATGCATGCGTGCCTTGATTTACTTACATGTGTTCAATTTCAAGTTCCTTTTTATACACATTGCATGCATACGTGCATTGCTTTACTTACATGTGTTCAAGTTCCTTTTTATATACATTGCTTGCGTAGACCGTATGCTTTACTTACATGTGCTCAAGTTCCTTTTTATACACATTGCATGCATGCGTGCCTTGATTTACTTACATGTGTTCAATTTCAAGTTCCTTTTTATACACATTGCATGCATACGTGCATTGCTTTACTTACATGTGTTCAAGTTCCTTTTTATATACATTGCTTGCGTAGACCGTATGCTTTACTTACATGTGCTCAAGTTCCTTTTTATACACATTGCATGCATGCGTGCCTTGATTTACTTACATGTGTTCAATTTCAAGTTCCTTTTTATACACATTGCATGCATACGTGCATTGCTTTACTTACATGTGTTCAAGTTCCTTTTTATATACATTGCTTGCGTAGACCGTATGCTTTACTTACATGTGCTCAAGTTCCTTTTTATACACATTGCATGCATGCGTGCCTTGATTTACTTACATGTGTTCAATTTCAAGTTCCTTTTTATACACATTGCATGCATACGTGCATTGCTTTACTTACATGTGTTCAAGTTCCTTTTTATATACATTGCTTGCGTAGACCGTATGCTTTACTTACATGTGCTCAAGTTCCTTTTTATACACATTGCATGCATGCGTGCCTTGATTTACTTACATGTGTTCAATTTCAAGTTCCTTTTTATACACATTGCATGCATACGTGCATTGCTTTACTTACATGTGTTCAAGTTCCTTTTTATATACATTGCTTGCGTAGACCGTATGCTTTACTTACATGTGCTCAAGTTCCTTTTTATACACATTGCATGCATGCGTGCCTTGATTTACTTACATGTGTTCAATTTCAAGTTCCTTTTTATACACATTGCATGCATACGTGCATTGCTTTACTTACATGTGTTCAAGTTCCTTTTTATATACATTGCTTGCGTAGACCGTATGCTTTACTTACATGTGCTCAAGTTCCTTTTTATACACATTGCATGCATGCGTGCCTTGATTTACTTACATGTGTTCAATTTCAAGTTCCTTTTTATACACATTGCATGCATACGTGCATTGCTTTACTTACATGTGTTCAAGTTCCTTTTTATATACATTGCTTGCGTAGACCGTATGCTTTACTTACATGTGCTCAAGTTCCTTTTTATACACATTGCATGCATGCGTGCCTTGATTTACTTACATGTGTTCAATTTCAAGTTCCTTTTTATACACATTGCATGCATACGTGCATTGCTTTACTTACATGTGTTCAAGTTCCTTTTTATATACATTGCTTGCGTAGACCGTATGCTTTACTTACATGTGCTCAAGTTCCTTTTTATACACATTGCATGCATGCGTGCCTTGATTTACTTACATGTGTTCAATTTCAAGTTCCTTTTTATACACATTGCATGCATACGTGCATTGCTTTACTTACATGTGTTCAAGTTCCTTTTTATATACATTGCTTGCGTAGACCGTATGCTTTACTTACATGTGCTCAAGTTCCTTTTTATACACATTGCATGCATGCGTGCCTTGATTTACTTACATGTGTTCAATTTCAAGTTCCTTTTTATACACATTGCATGCATACGTGCATTGCTTTACTTACATGTGTTCAAGTTCCTTTTTATATACATTGCTTGCGTAGACCGTATGCTTTACTTACATGTGCTCAAGTTCCTTTTTATACACATTGCATGCATGCGTGCCTTGATTTACTTACATGTGTTCAATTTCAAGTTCCTTTTTATACACATTGCATGCATACGTGCATTGCTTTACTTACATGTGTTCAAGTTCCTTTTTATATACATTGCTTGCGTAGACCGTATGCTTTACTTACATGTGCTCAAGTTCCTTTTTATACACATTGCATGCATGCGTGCCTTGATTTACTTACATGTGTTCAATTTCAAGTTCCTTTTTATACACATTGCATGCATACGTGCATTGCTTTACTTACATGTGTTCAAGTTCCTTTTTATATACATTGCTTGCGTAGACCGTATGCTTTACTTACATGTGCTCAAGTTCCTTTTTATACACATTGCATGCATGCGTGCCTTGATTTACTTACATGTGTTCAATTTCAAGTTCCTTTTTATACACATTGCATGCATACGTGCATTGCTTTACTTACATGTGTTCAAGTTCCTTTTTATATACATTGCTTGCGTAGACCGTATGCTTTACTTACATGTGCTCAAGTTCCTTTTTATACACATTGCATGCATGCGTGCCTTGATTTACTTACATGTGTTCAATTTCAAGTTCCTTTTTATACACATTGCATGCATACGTGCATTGCTTTACTTACATGTGTTCAAGTTCCTTTTTATATACATTGCTTGCGTAGACCGTATGCTTTACTTACATGTGCTCAAGTTCCTTTTTATACACATTGCATGCATGCGTGCCTTGATTTACTTACATGTGTTCAATTTCAAGTTCCTTTTTATACACATTGCATGCATACGTGCATTGCTTTACTTACATGTGTTCAAGTTCCTTTTTATATACATTGCTTGCGTAGACCGTATGCTTTACTTACATGTGCTCAAGTTCCTTTTTATACACATTGCATGCATGCGTGCCTTGATTTACTTACATGTGTTCAATTTCAAGTTCCTTTTTATACACATTGCATGCATACGTGCATTGCTTTACTTACATGTGTTCAAGTTCCTTTTTATATACATTGCTTGCGTAGACCGTATGCTTTACTTACATGTGCTCAAGTTCCTTTTTATACACATTGCATGCATGCGTGCCTTGATTTACTTACATGTGTTCAATTTCAAGTTCCTTTTTATACACATTGCATGCATACGTGCATTGCTTTACTTACATGTGTTCAAGTTCCTTTTTATATACATTGCTTGCGTAGACCGTATGCTTTACTTACATGTGCTCAAGTTCCTTTTTATACACATTGCATGCATGCGTGCCTTGATTTACTTACATGTGTTCAATTTCAAGTTCCTTTTTATACACATTGCATGCATACGTGCATTGCTTTACTTACATGTGTTCAAGTTCCTTTTTATATACATTGCTTGCGTAGACCGTATGCTTTACTTACATGTGCTCAAGTTCCTTTTTATACACATTGCATGCATGCGTGCCTTGATTTACTTACATGTGTTCAATTTCAAGTTCCTTTTTATACACATTGCATGCATACGTGCATTGCTTTACTTACATGTGTTCAAGTTCCTTTTTATATACATTGCTTGCGTAGACCGTATGCTTTACTTACATGTGCTCAAGTTCCTTTTTATACACATTGCATGCATGCGTGCCTTGATTTACTTACATGTGTTCAATTTCAAGTTCCTTTTTATACACATTGCATGCATACGTGCATTGCTTTACTTACATGTGTTCAAGTTCCTTTTTATATACATTGCTTGCGTAGACCGTATGCTTTACTTACATGTGCTCAAGTTCCTTTTTATACACATTGCATGCATGCGTGCCTTGATTTACTTACATGTGTTCAATTTCAAGTTCCTTTTTATACACATTGCATGCATACGTGCATTGCTTTACTTACATGTGTTCAAGTTCCTTTTTATATACATTGCTTGCGTAGACCGTATGCTTTACTTACATGTGCTCAAGTTCCTTTTTATACACATTGCATGCATGCGTGCCTTGATTTACTTACATGTGTTCAATTTCAAGTTCCTTTTTATACACATTGCATGCATACGTGCATTGCTTTACTTACATGTGTCAGAGTAAAATTTTACTATCTGAAAAACAGAGCAAGATGAGGAGACAGACAGAGAGAGAGAGAGAGAGAGAGAGAAAATATAGATCTGAGATGATAGATCTCAAATCTGAGGTCGTCAATCTCAGATCTAAGATAACGATGGTTGTCAAGACCCAAACCCGCCCCTATAAGTTTGAGCCGTAATCGGCCAATAATCCTCGATCACCGAAGGCCTAATTGAGCAAAGTAAATAAATAGGAATAGTGGAAGCTTTAATATAAGAAACAGAACGCCCATTGAGCCGTACATTTACATGAGGCAAAAGGCATTGTTGTGCATATAACCATATATACCCACGAGAAAGTACAACAAGTTTGTTTAAAAGACAGCCAAAAGGAAGAAAAGACACTCTCATAGTCACAAGTCCTGACCAACACACGGGCGCTCCACAGAAGGGACGACATTAGTCACGTCAAAACTTGAGTAGGTGGGAACCTCGCGGTGAGGCACAACGGATAGCTCGACAAAACTGGAGTAAGACTGACGCCACTACATCTTTTCTTGAGCTGGGTTACCTACATGATATATCAAAATGTGAGCTAGGGCCCAGTGAATAATAACAGAATGAAGAGAATATAAATGATGATTATAATACAAAATGAATACAAGCTAAGTATGTTCATACGAACCTTGAAAAACATAACCTTTTGTGTAAGATATTCGCGTAGTACACTCACAAGCAGTAAATACAGGCGGTCTAAAAGACCAAACAGACGGTCACGGAGACCGGACAAGCGGTCAAGAAGACTGAACAGACGGTCATAAAGATCGATAAACCGATACGATAGCCATTATCATGTTAAGCAGGAATTCCAAGGCATGGAACTGATAAAACTGTACTTATATGAAGAGAAGCCCAAAATTATCATAGTAGCTAGTGACAACTGGAATAAAATCATCATTCAGTCATATGAGAGATATATTCGAATAACGTATAAGTTGAAGCAGAGAAAGATAAATTAAATTATACATATTCATAATAGTGTTACTCACAGTGTATACTAAGATGCGGGTGACTGGCACTTGGCGTTTGACCTACACAGACAAATATAAATGTAGAATGCTTAAGTGACATATATTTAACTTATTGGTTTCTTTGTTTAGGAATTATTTTGCCTAAACATTAACTTCTGCTAAAAGCTCATGTAATGCGCATGGATTGTAATTACAGGTGTAAAACATGCTAACGGAGGCTCGAGAGTGGAGTAAACAACCCAGAAAAATGAATCTGGGGCAGCCAAACAGCCGTACGTGCGGAGTCCCCTGGCTGCACGTACGAGACTCTCTCTGCACGTGCGCTCCTACGTGCTTTTTAAACAGAATGCAACCTAAGTTTCCCCTGAAATCTGCACGTGCGGGCCTACCCGCCGCACTTGCGTCGATGCTCTTCCGCACGTACGGGCTCCCTCGCCGCACGTGCAGTTCTAGGTGTTCCAGAACCGAATTTCTGCTCTATTTTGGGGTTCCAACTTCCTCAAAATCAAACCTGAAATCCATTAAATCAAAGATCACAAATTCATAAACGTGGTGTACAATTAATTTCTATACTCAATTTAAGAATGAAACTAAAGATTCAAACTCAAATTCTACAAGCTCTTAAACAATTTCAAGGCCAAAAGAAAATAACATCAATACATATTGAACTTCCATTTCTTCCACCAAACTAAGAGAATTTAGTTAGAAACATACAAAGCCAAGTAATTCAAGCCAAAACAGGTTTGTAGTACCTCCTATACTACCCAAACCCTTACTCTCCATTTCAATTTCAAGAGTTTAGAGTGAAAACTACCTAAATATAAGAAGGGAGGGAGGGAATTCTTACCCTAAAGAGTCAAGTTGATGGAGTGATCACACACTTGCACTCTTTCTTCTTCCCTTCTCTTCTTGTTCACTTCTCTAGAACTCTCTCTCTCTCCCTTCTCAGATGATATTTCCTTTTCCTCACTTGAGGCCAATCAAACATTTATATGTATAGATATAATGCTAGGTTACTTGGTTTTAAATAATTTCCACTTATATCCACTTCCATTAAATTATCTCTTATCACAACTTAAACTAATTAACTCCCTCTTCGGCTAGTTAGAATAAATTAGGCTCTACCACCTACAGCCTCATTTAATTAATAACAGAGCATTACAAGTTAACGAATGGGACAGATCTTTTCACAAAGAATATATCTGTTAACAGACACAATGCTTATAATAGACATATAAAGCTCGAATAAATGCATGATCCAGATTAAGCATAAAAGTAATCATAAAAACAACAGTTAAGGAGGAAGACAGGTGTTACAGTCTCTCCCCCTTAGGGTATTTGGTCTTCCAAATTCAAGTACCTTATTCAGTGAAGAGTGTAAGATCTAATGGAAAGAGTTCAGGATATGTCTCGTGCATCTCAACTTCTCGTTCCCAAGTTGCATACAGGCCATTATGGTTTTTCCAAGCCACCTTTACCAATGGAATTTCTTTATTTCTCAACTTTTTGATTCGACGACTAACAATCCGAAGAGGTCGTTCTGCATACATATAATTATCACTTATAGATATATGGGTAGGCTCAACAACTTCTTGAGGGTCCAAAAGAGACTCCCTTAGCATGGAGATATGAAAGATATTATGCATGTGTGTCATATCTGTAGGTAGAGCTATTCGGTACGCCACTGGACTCAGTTTTTCAATAATTTCATACTGTTCGATGTAACGAGGCGCTAGCTTACCCTTAATCCCGAAACGAGCATATCTCTTCATTGGCGTAACTTTAATAAAGACATGGTTGCCTACTTCGTATTCTCTTTCTCGTCTACGTATATCAGCATAGCTTTTCTGTCGACTTTGAGCAGTTTTCAGCCGTTGCTGAATTTTCTTCACTTTTTCAGTGGTTTGTTGCACAAGGTTAGGTCCTAATAATGGTCTCTCTTCAACTTCCGCCCAACAGATTAGTGACAGACATTTTCGGTCGTATAAGGCCTTGTAGGGTGCCATGTCAATGCTAGAATGAAAGTTGTGTTTCCCCATTTCCTTGGAAATCCAATACACACATACGTAACATATCCTCAAGTGTCTGAATTGTCCTCTCTGGTTGGCCATCTGTTTGGGGATGGTATGCACTGCTCAATCTCAACTCTGTCCTTAGTGCCTTTTGGAAACTTTGCCAAAACCTTGAAGTAAACTTCGGATCTCTGTCTGATACGATAGATACAGGAACTCCATGCAATCTCACAATTTCATTCACATACAAGATAGCCAACTTATCCACAGCATATGTGGCCTTAACAGGTAAAAAATGAGCGAATTTGGTTAATCGATCCACAATTACCTAGATAGAATCCATATCTTTGTTGGAGCAAGGCAAACCAACCACGAAATCCATTGTAATATGTTCCCATTTCCACTCCGGTACAGGCAATGGTTGAAGTAATCATGCAGGTCGTTGATGTTCTGTTTTAACTTGTTGACATTGCAAACATTTTGATAAGAATTCTGCAATTTCCCTTTTTATCCCCGCCAACCAGAAATTTTTCTTTAGGTCCTGATACATTTTCGCATTTCCTAGATAAATAGAGAATTTGGAATTGCGGGCTTCTTGAAGAGTTTGTTTCTTTACCTCATTGTCATTAGGAACACATAACCGTCCTTGGAATTTGAGTACGCCATCCTCTAAACTGAATGCCAATCTAGGTTTGGAATCTCATGCATCTACTATTTTCTTGAAGAACTCGTCTTGCAACTGTTTATTTTTGATCTCCTCAACTAGCATTGGCTCACATACTATTGTTTCCTGTCTGGTGAGTAAACAGGCCAAGTTTTCCACGACTTTTCGACTAAGGGCATCGGCCACTGTATTAGCTTTCCCAGGATGATACATGATTTGTAAATCATAATCCTTAATTAACTCGAGCCATCTTCGCTGCCTCGTGTTTAGCCTCTTCTGAGTAAAGAAATATTTTAAACTCTTGTGGTCCGTATACACCTCGCATATAACCCCATATAAATAGTGATGCCAAATCTTTAACGCAAAAATCACTGCAGCTAACTCCAGATCGTGAGTCGGGTAACTTTTTTCATGTGGTCTTAGCTGACGGGACGCATGGGCAATTACTCTTCCATTTTGCATCAACACGCACCCCAAACCTTTATAGGAAGCATCACTATAGACGGTAAAACCATCTGTGCCAGAGGGTAAAGTAAGAATTGGTGCTGTCACGAGTCTCATCTTTAACTCCTGAAAGGCTGCTTCTCGTTGGTCAGTCCACTCAAATGGTACCCCTTATTATGTCAACTGAGTGAGTGGCATAGCAATCTTGGAGAAGTCCTTCACAAATCTGCAATAGTATCCAGCGATGCCCAAGAAACTGTGAACCTCTGTTACATTCGTTGGCCTCGACCAATTTTTGTGGATCAACAGAAATACCCTCTTTCATTATCACATGCCCCAAAAATGACACACTATTTAACCAAAATTCACATTTCGACAGCTTAGCATATAATTTCCTCTCCCTCGGCATTTGAAGAGTAAGTCTCAAGTGATGTTCATATTCTTTCTTGCTCTTAGAATAGACCAAAATGTCATTGATAAAGACTACAATGAATTCATCAAGAAATGGCTTAAAAACTCTGTTCATTAAATCCATAAAAAGCAGCTGGTGCATTAGTAACTCTGAAAGGCATAACGAGGAACTCATAGTGACCATCTGGTTCGAAAAGCAGTCTTCTCTACATCCTCGGCTTTAACTTTTAGTTGGTGATATCTAGACCGCAGATCAATTTTAGAAAATACTTGTGTCCCTTACAGCTGGTCAAACAAATCGTCAATACGTGGCAACGGGTATTTGTTTTTTATTGTCACCTTATTCAATTCCCGGTAATCAATACAGAGTCTTAAAGTTCCATCCTTCTTTTTGACAAATAGTACCGGAGCACACCACGGAGAAGTACTAGGCCTAATAAATTTCTTATTAAACAATTCTTGTAATTGAGTTTTCAACTCTTTTAACTCAGTAGTTGACATCCGATATGGGGTCTTAGAAATTGGTTGGGTACCTGGGGCTAACTCAATAGTAAACTCAATCTCTCTATCAATTAAATTCCCAGGCAAATCATCTGGAAACACATCTAGAAATTCCTTCACCACAGGAATATTACCAACACCGGGTTTAGTAGTAGTTGACCCTATGAGTACCGAACATAGAAATTCCTTGCACCCTTTATTAATCAGCTTATTTGCTTTCGTAGAGGAAATTAAATATGAAGGAGGTATAACACTGTTCCCCTTGAATGTAAGTTTAGGCCCTTCAGGTAAATGAAATACAACTTGTTTGGTTGAGCAATCAATTATAGCGCATTATTTTGCTAGCCAATCCATTCCCAGTATAGCGTGAAAACATGCAATATCTAAAGGTAACAAATCCACATACAAATTCATGTTTTCAATGACAACCTCACATGTGGGATACACGGATGTACAGATCATAGTTTCCCCTGCTGGAGAGGTGACGACGAAGACATAATTCATTGGTTCCAAAGGCCTAGATAATTTTGGAGCAAAAGCATAGGACACAAAAGAGTGCGTAGACCCCAAATCAATTAACACACGAGCATTCTGAGAACAGATAGGAAGAATACCTGACATAACCATCTCTGTAGTCTGCACGTCGCCCGGCACCAATGCAAAAACCAGTCCTTGTTTTAGAGTTTTTTTCCTTGTAGCTGCCTTCGAATTTCCCTGTGGTGCTGACACTGATGTAGTTGAATTAGTCCTTGACTGGCTTGTGCCTTGAGAAACCAAAGGACAATCTTTAATCATATGGCCTGTTTTTCCACACCGAAAGCATGAACCAGAAATTCTACGGCAAACTCCCTTATGTATTTTTCCACACTCCGAGCAGATGGGTGTGTCATTCCCCTGACTTGAGTTAGTGAATGATCATGTGTTCTGTTTCTTGTTTGGTGGAGAATTGAAGTTGCTTCGACCCTTCTTAGAATTAAATCCCGACCTTTTTTCCCTTCCATTCACTCACCGGCACCTTCGCTTGTGTTAGAGCAGCAACGTTTGCTTCAACTATGATAGACCTTTTCAAAACGTCAACGTATTTTTCCAATTTTAGTACATTAACTCGATCAAGAACCTCAACAGCCAAACCACCTTCAAATTTTCTAACTTTTTTGTAATCGATGTCCCATATGCGGCGCATAGCGCGCAAGCTCTGTAAATTTGGCCTCATATTCCGCTACTGTCATAGTACCCTACTTGAGCTGCTCGAATTCCGACACCTTACAGTCTCTTACACACTGTGGAAAATACTTTTCATAGAAAACTTCTTTAAACTGTGCCCAAGCCATAGCAGTCTGTTGATTCTGAAAGAGCATCCACCATCTTCTCGCTTCCTCTTGCAGGGTAAAAGTTGCTAACAAAACTTTTTATTCTTCGGTGCATAGAAATACTTCAAACAACTTTTCAATCTCCAAAATCGAGGCTTCAGCTTTCAACGGTTCCAAGCCTCCCAGAAACGTGGGCGGTTTCAACTTGTTGAATTTCTGTATTAGAGCAATAATGTCACCATTGTTGGGCGACTCTACTAGAACTGGTGGCGGAGGTGGAGGTGGAGGTGGAGGTGGGAAGGGCTGTCTCTGTTGTTGTCTTAGTGCTTCTGTCAACAACTCCACCATTCGCTTTAATCGATCCATCCTTGCTTCAGAAGACTCGGATGTCTCTACAGGTCTTGTGTTCTCCATCGACTTAAATACATAAACAAAAAGACAATAAACATAGGACATATAGAGTTTATACATGTATTATCACCATAAAACTTACTAAATACACCATACATGAAGATAATATGCCCTAATCTCTTCTTTAGGACATCCTATAGCTCATTTGGACGCGTGTGTGCGGTACAACTCGTGCTCTGATACCACTCTGTCACGACCCAAACCCGTCCCTATAGGTTTGGGACCGTAACCAGCCAGTAATCCTCGATTACCGAAGGCCTAACTGAGCAAAGTAAAAAAATGGGGCTAGCGAAAGCTTTAATATAAGAAATAGAACGTCCATTGAGTCGTGCATTTACATGAGGCAAAAGGCATTGTTGTGCATATAACCATATATACCCACGAGAAAGTACAACAAGTTTGTTTAAAAGACAGCCAAAAGGAAGAAAAGACACTCCCATAGTCACAAGTCCTGACCAACACATGGGCACTTCACAGAAGGGAGGACATTAGTCACATCAAAACTTGAGTAAGTGGGAACCTTGCAGTGAGGCACAACGGATAGCTCAACAAAACCGGAGTAAGACTGACGCCACTACATCTTTTCTTGAGCTGGGTTACCTACATGATATATCAAAATGTGAGCTATGGCCCAGTGAATAACAACTGAATGAAGAGAATATAAATGATGATTATAATACAAAATGAATACAAGCTAAGTATGTTCATACGAACCTTGAAAAACATAACCTTTTGTGTAAGATATTCGCGTAATACACTCACAAGCCGTAAATACAGGCGGTCTAGTCACGGGTACCGGACAGACGGTCAAGAAGACCAAACAGACGGTCATAAAGACTGATAAACCGATACGATAGCCATTATCATGTCAAGCAGGAGTTCCAAGGAATGGAACTGATAAAACTGTACTTATATGAAGAGGTGCCCAAAATGATCATAGTAGCTAGTGACAACTGGAATAGAATCATCATTCAGTCATATGAGAGATATATCCGAATAACGTATAAGTTGAAGCAGAGAAAGATAAATTAAATTATACATATTCGTAGAAGCATTACTCACAGTGTATACCGAGATGCGAGTGACTGGCACTTGGCGTTTGACCTACACAGACAAATATAAATGTAAAATGCTTAAGTGACATATATTTAACTTATTGGTTTCTTTGTTTAGGAATTATTTCGCCTAAACATTAACTTCTGCTAAAAGCTCATGCAATGCGCATGGACCGTAATTATGGGTGTAAAACATGCTAACGGAGGCTCGAGAGTGGAGTAAACAACCCAGAAAAATGAATCTGGGGCAGCCAAACAGCCGTACGTGCGGAGTCCCCTGGCTGCACGTACGAGACTCTCTCTGCACGTGCGCTCCTACGTGCTTTTTAAACAGAATGCAACCCCCAAGTTTCCCCTGAAATCCGCACGTGCGGGCCGACTCACCACACGTGTGTCGATGCTCTCCCGTACATGTGGGCTCTCTAGCCGCACGTGCGGTTCTAGGTGTTCCAGAACTGAATTTTTGCTCTATTTTGGGGTTCCAACTTCCTCAAAATCAAACCCAAAATCCATTAAATCAAAGATCACAAATTCATAAACATGGTGTACAATTAATTTCTATACTCAATTTAAGAATGAAACCAAAGATTCAAACTCAAATTCTACAAGCTCTTAAACAATTTCAAGGCCAAAAGAAAATAACATCCATACATATTGAACTTCCATTTCTTCCACCAAACTAAGAGAATTTAGTTAGAAACATACAAAGCCAAGTAATTCAAGCCAAAACAGGTTTGTAGTACCTCCTATACTACCCAAACCCTTACTCTCCATTTCAATTTCAAGAGTTTAGAGTGAAAACTACCTAAATATAAGAAAGGAGTGAGGGAATTCTTACCCTAAAGAGTCAAGTTGATGGAGTGATCACACACTTGCACTCTTTCTTCTTCCCTTCTCTTCTTGTTCACTTCTCTAGAACTCTCTCTCTCTCCCTTCTCAGATGATATTTCCTTTTCCTCACTTGAGGCCAATCAAACATTTATATATATAGATATAATGCTAGGTTACTTGGTTTTAAATAATTTCCACTTATATCCACTTCCATTAAATTATCTCTTATCACAACTTAAACTAATTAACTCCCTCTTCAGCTAGTTAGAATAAACTAGGCTCTACCACCTACATCCTCATTTAATTAATAACAGAGCATTACAAGTTAACGAATCGGACAGATCTTTTCACAAAGAACATATCTGTTAACAGACACAATGCTTATAATAGACATATAAAGCTCGAATAAATGCATGATCCAAATTAAGCATAAAAGTAATCATAAAAACAACAGTTAAGGAGGAAGACAGGTGTTACAGTCTCTCCCCCTTAGGGTATTTGGTCTTCCAAATTCAAGTACCTTATTCAGTGAAGAGTGTAGGATCTAATGGAAAGAGTTCAGGATATGTCTCGTGCATCTCAACTTCTCGTTCCCAAGTTGCATACAGGCCATTATGGTTTTTCCAAGCCACCTTTACCAATGGAATTTCTTTATTTCTCAACTTTTTGATTCGACGACTAACAATCCGAAGAGGTCGTTCTGCATACATATAATTATCACTTATAGATATATGGGTAGGCTCAACAACTTCTTGAGGGTCCAAAAGAGACTCCCTTAGCATGGAGATATGAAAGATATTATGCATGTGTGTCATATCTGTAGGTAGAGCTATTCGGTACGCCACTGGACTCAGTTTTTCAATAATTTCGTACTGTTCGATGTAACGAGGCGCTAGCTTACCCTTAATCCCGAAACGAGCATATCCCTTCATTGGCGTAACTTTAATAAAGACATGGTTGCCTACTTCGTATTCTCTTTCTCGTCTACGTATATCAGCATAGCTTTTCTGTCGACTTTGAGCAGTTTTCAGCCGTTGCTGAATTTTCTTCACTTTTTCAGTGGTTTGTTGCACAAGGTTAGGTCCTAATAATGGTCTCTCTCCAACTTCCACCCAACAGATTAGTGACAGACATTTTCGGTCGTATAAGGCCTTGTAGGGTGCCATGTCAATGCTAGAATGAAAGTTGTGTTTCCCCATTTCCTTGGAAATCCAATACACACATACGTAACATATCCTCAAGTGTCTGAATTGTCCTCTCTGGTTGGCCATCTGTTTGGGGATGGTATGCACTGCTCAATCTCAACTCTGTCCTTAGTGCCTTTTGGAAACTTTGCCAAAACCTTGAAGTAAACTTCGGATCTCTGTCTGATACGATAGATACAGGAACTCCATGCAATCTCACAATTTCATTCACATACAAGATAGCCAACTTATCCACAGCATATGTGGCCTTAACAGGTAAAAAATGAGCGAATTTGGTTAATCGATCCACAATTACCTAGATAGAATCCATATCTTTGTTGGAGCAAGGCAAACCAACCACGAAATCCATTGTAATATGTTCCCATTTCCACTCCGGTACAGGCAATGGTTGAAGTAATCATGCAGGTCGTTGATGTTCTGTTTTAACTTGTTGACATTGCAAACATTTTGATAAGAATTCTGCAATTTCCCTTTTTATCCCCGCCAACCAGAAATTTTTCTTTAGGTCCTGATACATTTTCGCATTTCCTAGATAAATAGAGAATTTGGAATTGCGGGCTTCTTGAAGAGTTTGTTTCTTTACCTCATTGTCATTAGGAACACATAACCGTCCTTGGAATTTGAGTACGCCATCCTCTAAACTGAATGCCAATCTAGGTTTGGAATCCCATGCATCTACTATTTTCTTGAAGAACTCGTCTTGCAACTGTTTATTTTTGATCTCCTCAACTAGCATTGGCTCACATACTATTGTTTCCTGTCTGGTGAGTAAACAGGCCAAGTTTTCCACGACTTTTCGACTAAGGGCATCGGCCACTGTATTAGCTTTCCCAGGATGATACATGATTTGTAAATCATAATCCTTAATTAACTCGAGCCATCTTCGCTGCCTCATGTTTAGCCTCTTCTGAGTAAAGAAATATTTTAAACTCTTGTGGTCCGTATACACCTCGCATATAACCCCATATAAATAGTGATGCCAAATCTTTAACGCAAAAATCACTGCAGCTAACTCCAGATCGTGAGTCGGGTAACTTTTTTCATGTGGTCTTAGCTGACGGGACGCATGGGCAATTACTCTTCCATTTTGCATCAACACGCACCCCAAACCTTTATAGGAAGCATCACTATAGACGGTAAAACCATCTGTGCCAGAGGGTAAAGTAAGAATTGGTGCTGTCACGAGTCTCATCTTTAACTCCTGAAAGGCTGCTTCTCGTTGGTCAGTCCACTCAAATGGTACCCCTTATTATGTCAACTGAGTGAGTGGCATAGCAATCTTGGAGAAGTCCTTCACAAATCTGCAATAGTATCCAGCGATGCCCAAGAAACTGTGAACCTCTGTTACATTCGTTGGCCTCGACCAATTTTTGTGGATCAACAGAAATACCCTCTTTCATTATCACATGCCCCAAAAATGACACACTATTTAACCAAAATTCACATTTCGACAGCTTAGCATATAATTTCCTCTCCCTCGGCATTTGAAGAGTAAGTCTCAAGTGATGTTCATATTCTTTCTTGCTCTTAGAATAGACCAAAATGTCATTGATAAAGACTACAATGAATTCATCAAGAAATGGCTTAAAAACTCTGTTCATTAAATCCATAAAAAGCAGCTGGTGCATTAGTAACTCTGAAAGGCATAACGAGGAACTCATAGTGACCATCTGGTTCGAAAAGCAGTCTTCTCTACATCCTCGGCTTTAACTTTTAGTTGGTGATATCTAGACCGCAGATCAATTTTAGAAAATACTTGTGTCCCTTACAGCTGGTCAAACAAATCGTCAATACGTGGCAACGGGTATTTGTTTTTTATTGTCACCTTATTCAATTCCCGGTAATCAATACAGAGTCTTAAAGTTCCATCCTTCTTTTTGACAAATAGTACCGGAGCACACCACGGAGAAGTACTAGGCCTGATAAATTTCTTATTAAACAATTCTTGTAATTGAGTTTTCAACTCTTTTAACTCAGTAGTTAACATCCGATATGGGGTCTTAGAAATTGGTTGGGTACCTGGGGCTAACTCAATAGTAAACTCAATCTCTCTATCAATTAAATTCCCAGGCAAATCATCTGGAAACACATCTAGAAATTCCTTCACCACAGGAATATTACCAACACCGGGTTTAGTAGTAGTTGACCCTATGAGTACCGAACATAGAAATTCCTTGCACCCTTTATTAATCAGCTTATTTGCTTTCGTAGAGGAAATTAAATATGAAGGAGGTATAACACTGTTCCCCTTGAATGTAAGTTTAGGCCCTTCAGGTAAATGAAATACAACTTGTTTGGTTGAGCAATCAATTATAGCAAGGCCGGAGTAACTTTGCCCTTCTGGGCCGGAGTATCTATTGCGGCCTTCTTACTTAGTCCTTCGCGTTTTGGGCCTCAATGCCCAACTCGCGGCTCGGCCCAATTTTTCCCAAAAATTACCCTCTCAATTGCCCCTTAATTCCATCTGCTTAGCATGATTGGGATTACCAATTCATCAGCCAAGCTGCCGTCGTTTTAAGCTATTCCAGCCGAGCTAAAAACCCTCGAATTTTTCAGCCGAGCTAATTTTACTCCGTGCCCTGTTTTGTCCGGTCAAAAACGTCTCTTCAATCATAGTGTTTGTAACGCTTCCCATTCCAGTGACACGTGGCAAGCTCTGATTGGCTAAGGACGGCTGTCACGCCGTCTTCGTGCTTTG